AAATTACGCAGGATCGCAAAATGGAATGTAGAAAATTAGTAGAAAAAAAGATCAAATAAATGAGTAATTTCAACAATTTTTGAAATTTTGAAATCAAACAAGAAAAAGGCAAGAAATAAGTAACTTACAGGTGATTGGGATATCGTCTTCTACATTGATTTGCGCTTTTGTGATTCGAATGTTTCGTTATATCTCGGAGTTTGTTTCGTACTTGCGTGTTTGTTTTGAGTTGCTTTTGGCTTGTTATTGAAGTGTGAATGAAATATTCGAAGTTGAAACTTGAAAATGGTTGTGTAAGGGCAACCTTTTTCTTAATCATAAATTTTTGCTAATCATTACATGGGGTCAATTTTCATATTTTTTAAATAAAAATACATATTAATATCATTAATGTTATATTATTGCTTATAGTATATTTTAAAATATGACACTTTCAATTGAAAATTATTTTATTTATTCCATCAAAAAAATTATGGTGGTCTAACAACCTAAATAATGCAGTTCTTTAACCCTTTTATGCCAAATTAAAAAAGTTGAGTTTTATTTGCAATTTTAATAAAGGTTGGGTTTTTAATTGCAATTAACCCTTATATTAATTGTTAGTTATAAATAAGTGACTTCATAATTAATACATTTTACAGATAAGTATGTACTTATGATTTATCTATAGATTGAAAATTTGAAACTTACTTTTGGACAAAAAGGGGCTGCTTCTTGAGTTGAGCCGAGTTATTTGATTTGAAAATTTTGGTTATTTCTCTTGCTGAAATTTATGTAGAAACAATTTTGGGTCCATAAGTTAAATATGCATTCAGAGTTGAAAACAGTTGCTTGAAAGGAACCTTAATTGACATGCAAAACTACTAATTTGTTAATTTTCAACATGAATTTAGTGAAAATTATTCGGTGGTATTAGGTGGGTTTAACACGGAGACCTACTAATTTAGTCATTTTCAACATGAGTTGGGCCCACTACCAATGACAATTGGCAATCAATATTTTGTCTCATGTTACATTATGGTGATTATGAATTTTTGCCACCAATATTATTAAATATTCATTTTTTTATTATATTTGCATGTTTTCTAACTAAAAATATATGCATGTTTATAAATACAAAAATATATGTCGTTCTATATCGGCTAGCAAAAAAACTATTACCTGCAATTTCCTCATTATCCATCATCTAAATCAATCATAAATTTTGCTTGACACATTTACCAAACGATCATTAAATTAGTATGAGCTCCGTTCGATTATCAAATAATTGAATCTATTATTATATAAAGAGGCAATCTAAAAAATACTTAAATAGTAACTAAAATATATTTTTAAATCCCGCCTAAAAATTAACTAAACATAGAAGCTTTTTTGAATTTTTTTCGCAATATTCTGCCACTTATGAAACCATTTGAAATTTTCAAAACTTTGAAATTTTATGTCAACATCCCAAATCTTCATTGCCGTTTCAAATTTTTAGAGATTTTCTAAAACAATCAATTTTAAGACATTTTTTAAAGTTTAAACAAATCCACTTTAACATCTCCAAGCATATCAATATCATTTTGTATGGACACTCCCAAATATTATTGCAGCATAAATAAATTAACTTTTAACATTGAAACAAATTCACTTTATATTATAAAACTATATCAATTTAAATAGCCACATTTCAATTTAATTAAATTCATGATTCATTTACTTCGAGTAACTCGATTTTTTTTTTTCAATAAATCGATCCATATATTAAGTTTGTTAATATCTATCTCACATCATCGTTCATTTCATTTGATTATGCCGAATCTTCTGTCAATAAATGAAAAAGAATATTAAGTTTGGTCTGGCGATGTGCATCACACATTAGAAAACAATTCCATTTATTTATCTGTTTTTGTAAGGTTAAGTTGCATAACATGACATAACCAAATGAGAAAAAATATTGTTTTACACAATCAGATTACACAATAAATTGCTATTGATTATCGGCAACTATCAATTATAATTGGTATTCAAAATGTTAGAAATGATCTATACTATCACCAAGTTGCGTAACATGATATAACCAAATGACATAAAAAAAAAAAAAAAGAAACTCAGTAAATTGCTATTGATTATCGGCAACTATCTATTATAATTGGTATTCAAATATTACAAATGATCTATATTATCACCAATTAGAATAAATCCCACATATTTATCCGAAATTTGAAAGTTCAATTTCCTAACATGATAAAAATAAACCACATCAAATATTTTTTTAAAATTCATGATTCCAACTACTATACAATACAACTAATGTGATAAGTACGAACCAATTTTGTTAAACTAATGGTGACAAACCTCGAAATCGTATTTACAATTTATCTAAATACGATTAAATTTTTTTTATATTCGATCAAAAATTTTAATCGTTATTTACAATTTTTCAAAATTTTAATTGTATTTACATTTTTTATAAATTCTTATATAAATTATAGTTAATTTATTATATGACATAAAATATAAATTGTATTGTTATTTACATAAATTTTACGATATAAATAAAATTTGTGGTGTTAGTTAGTTATATTCGTAAAAAGATGTAATCGTATTTTTTAATTTTTTTTTAAATTTTAATCGTATTTACAATTTTTTTAAACTTTAATCGTATTTACAATTTTTATAAATTCATATATAAGTTAAAGTGAATTTATTATATGACTTAAAATATAATTTTTACCATTATTTATATTCAAAATAAAAATTTAATCCTTTTACACTTTGTCTAAATTCGTATATAAATTGTAGTTAATTTATTGTATGACTTTTATTGGGCTTTTATTTCATTGAATACTTTGGAACTATTAGTTGTTTGATAGATACCATTCAATATTCCACTTCAAAGGATGTCACCTATTGATTGGCGTAGACATTATTTCGAAAATTCAAGATTTTCTAGCAAGGTAATATTATATTATTTAAATTATAACAAACAAATTAATTAATTATATATATTTTAATAGGTTTTCAACAAGCAAAATCAAGAGTGTGAAGTTGAAGAAAAAAAGCTCCATTATTGTTAAACGTGAGCTTCAAGAGCTAGAGGACGATGACATTGTTGTGAGCTCCGTTGATACTTTCTACGAAACCGATGAGGTAGTAATATTATTTGTTATTTTCTATTTTTCAATATGATTGATACTCAAAGTTTTCCTTTCAAAATAACATCAAAAATATATGTTAACCAATTATTTGTTTTTTTGCTTTTCAACGCTACGGATACATGAGTTTGCGCTACAATAAACTCAATAATTGATGATTGGGCGTACCTTGCATGCAAAAGGTGCAAGAACAAGATGTAGAATGTAGAAGGTCAATTTAAGTGCAACAAGTGTACCCATACACAGGGCTATACTTGCGCCGACACTGGAGATAGTAGAATCTATCAATGCATACATGTCTTCGTTGAATTTGATTGAATGCCGTACTTATTTAAGCTCTAACATTACGTATAAATGCGACTCCAATACCAACTTTCTAGCAGAACTCCATACGCCTGAGTTCTTGAATACTATCAAGTTTTCTGGAACACCGAATCATGAGTTGCATCTGAAGCTAGGAACTTCGGTAATGTTTCGTGGATCATTCAATAGGACTGTGCAAGGGGACACGCTTGGTTGTGACGAAGCTCTCCTATCATGTTTTTCTTGAGTGTAAAATTCTTACTGACGACCATGCAGGTGATAAGGTGTTGATACCTCAGATGACAATAACTCCTTCTAATGTTAGAGTATCATTAGTTCCAACAAAAATAGTTTTCCATTATGGTTTCCTACGCAATGACCTTAAGTAAGAGCCAACGTAAATTCTTATCATATGTTGGCTTATTCTTGAAGAAACCAGTTTTTAGTAATGGATATGTTGTCTCCCGTGTTACTAACAGAAACGGTTTGAAAAAATTAATTTGTGAATAAGAAGAATTTGGAGAAAATTAAACCAATAATGTAGTGTATAGGAAAGTGTTTAATAATATATGAGTTTTCATACATATTATTTATCTTATTGCCATGCTCAGTGATTAATTTTTGAGAAAAAAAAAATTAATAAAAAAAAGTTTTTGAAGAATAAGTCCCATCGTGCAACGCACGGGATCTACACTAGTTTTATTTAACAACTCTAATCTTACTCACTATTAAAAATTTAAAATACAAAATCCATCAACTAAAAGTTACAAGTAAAAATAACTATTTATTTTCTAAATTAGTACATTTATATAATAATGCAATATAAATGTATATTTATGTTAAACCTAAAATTATTTGTTTACATTTAATAACAACGTCAATTTGCCTAACAATTTTAACAAACTGTTAATATAATAGCTGATTAAAATTGCTGTGATGATTTGTTAATCAGACATCTGAGTTAAACAAGTAACATTTGAAATTCAAATCAACTCGTGCATTCACAACTAGTGCAAATTTGTAAAAAGCTAGGCTCAAATCAAAAAAACTTGCATGTACAAATTTGAGTTCAATAATAACAATATTATATCAATAATAAATATACCAATGACAATGATTGAAATATAATTCAATTTGTCAACTAAATTTGCATAGTGCGTGCCTCTCTTGATTTGATGGTACTGCACCTAAGTGAGGTATATTTAGGCCATCTCCAGCCCTTATCTCTACTCTAGCGCGGACTTTACTCTACTCTAGAGTAGAGTTGAACATTCATCTCCAGCCCTTATCTCTACATTTTACTCTACATTAAATATATTATTTTTTTATTCATTTTTTATTTCAAATAAATTAGTATATATGTATATTTAATCTTATATAAAATGTTAATTACTCAAATAATAACAATATATTTTATGTATTTTTATTTCGAATAATTTGCTATATATATGAATATGTAATATTATATAAATGTTTATCACCCAAATAGTAAATAAAAAAAAAATTATGATTTACACACTAGACCATATATGGTTTAGACCATATATGAATTAGTGCAAATTTACACACTAGACCATATATGGTTTAGACCATATCTTAACATTTAAAAAAAAATTGTATTATATTGAATTTCTTAAAGAAGATACATATACATCTATGTACCGATTCAAAACTGTTACTTTTGAAAATATATGAATTACTGTAAATTTACACACTAGACCATATATGGTTTAGACCATATATGAATTAGTGCACATTTACACACCAGACCATATATGGTTTAGACCATATCTTGTGCAAATTTTATTATGTATATATATGATCTTAGCCATTGATCTTTAGATAAGAATCCTACGGTTGATTCAAATTTATTATCTTTTTTATTCATTTTTATTTCAAATAAATTCTAATATATGTATATTTCATGTTATATTCATTTTTGGTGGTATTTTAATATTAAAAAATTACAAAATAAAATTAATATACATCAATTTTTATTCATATGGTATCATTTTACTATTAAAAAATTATAAAATAAAATTATAATACATCAATAAATAAAAAGCACAAAATTATTTAGCATAAAAATTACATTACACAAATTATTTAGCATAAAAAATACATTTACTAATATACATTATACAAAAATTTATCAATAATAATACACAAAAAACAAAAAAAAAATAAAAAAAAATATATAATTGTAGCGTTGCAGCTACAGTGTTGCGCCATATTGGGCGCAACACTGTTCAATTCTCTGAAGTAGCGCAAGAATTTAGCGCAGCGTTGGAGGGATTTTTTGCCCCATCTTGAGAGATAGAGCAGAGCTGGAGTTACTCTTAGGCATGTTCAAAAAATAATATTGTTCACGAGTAAATATCCAAACGTGTATACATAAGCGAATATGTCGAATATGTTATAAATCAACAAAACAAATATAATACTTTTGAAAATACGTGTGAATTTTTTGATCCGTCTTAGGTTGATTCACTTTGTTTAAAAATTACAACTTAAGCAATAAAAAGATTTATGTTTCATGAACATATAAAATGGCACTCTCAGTAAAAATTATGTCACTGTCACAACGTGTCAACGTCGATTTTTAATGTATTAAAGTTGCATTTTCCTCAAGGAAAAAAACTAGAAATAAACTTGTCTCACTTTCGAATTTTCCCGCAAAAACCCCTCCGTAAGAACGAAACCCTAATCCCCAATTTGAATTCACACTCCCCCAACAAATTTCTCCTCGTCTGTTGCAACAAAAGCTCCGGCCATGCGTGGATTCCGATTGCTCCGCCTCCGCAAAACCATCCACACCTCCTCCGTCCAAAGCCCTAACCCCATCCCCTTCGCCACCTGCTGCAAATCCCGCAACTGCCCCCAGCAGCCGAGGAATCTCCACTCCACTCCTGAACGCCGGTTCCCCTCCTCCGCCGCCACGGACAATGAAACCGCCGCGCTCACCTGGTCGGCTTTCCCAAACTTGCCACGCCCGCCGCCGCCTAACCCGACTTCCCAGCAAACCCCTGCCGTTGAAACCGTCTACGACCCCACTGCCGACTGTCTGGTCACCACGACAGAATCCAGTGGCGGCGCCGGCATCGAAGTCGAGTCCGGCGGTTCGGAAGGAGAATGTGCACCGAGTCTCGAGGCGAGCAGTCGAGTATACCGCGATGTCATCGGCAGCAGCAGCGTTGGCGGCAGCGTGAGGAAGAAGGGGAAGATGAAGAGTGTCTTTGTCTGCGTGGACTGTGGGTACTCGGATGGAAAGTGGTGGGGCATGTGCAGGGAGTGCGGGGAGGCGGGTACCATGAAAAGGTTTGCAGTTGAAAGCGCCCAAGTCGAGAGCGCCCAGGAGAAGAAAGGGTGTGGGACTCGTTTGCCAGAAAACCTGGAAAGGTCATGGCTGCCAAAGGAGGCGACTCCTGTTCGGTTGTCTGATGTGTCTAATCAGATTGATGAGTCAAATTGGCGATTTCCTTTGTGAGTTGAGATGTTATTTCTTTTTGTTTTTATTTTTTCTCTTAATGTTGGTGTTAGTTTTGTGTAATTGCACGTTGGGTGGATTTTCCATATTCATTGAATGTGTGTTGATCACTATTAAGTGGCCCTTGCTTTATTTTACATAGGTTGGGTAACATATTTTGATATAGTTGTTTAGGGGCTTACTAGGTCTTGTCTCTTTTCTTGTGAATAGGCGTGGAGAATTTGGAGCTGAAGTAGAGAGGGTTCTCGGTGGCGGTTTAGTCCCAGGTATTCCATTTTCGTCTCCAATAATTGCGTTATGTCTGATTACACTCGAAGCTTGATTCATCAAGCTTATATGCTCATACAGTTTTTGTATAATCATTGAATGTGTTTTAATTAATTTTAAGTAGAACACCTTCCGTATCTTAGGGTGATAATTCCTAACATTCTGTACTTTGGTTTATTTTGAGAATTTGACAGTTATTTTGTCACAGGTTCTCTGGTGTTAGTGGGTGGAGATCCTGGGGTGGGTAAAAGCACGCTATTGTTGCAGGTAGCAATATGGTTCATGGTGGCGATGCTTGTATAATCGTAATACTATTTCTATGATACTTAGTAATACCCTTTGGTATATATTGAACATCTCATATTACTTCTGAGTGGCAGATTGCTGGATTGATAGGAGAAGGGGATAATGAAGATGTTCCATCTCGAGTTTTATATGTATCTGGGGAAGAGGTATTTCTTTTGATGTGGTAGATGTTGCTTGTAAAACTTGGAAATTTAAATTTTTGTGTCTCTAGAGGTTTGCCCACACGCTTCCCAATATTTTATCTGGTGCGGAGTTATTATTTTCTTATTTAGCTTTATCTCAGCATCTTGCATGTTATTTTCCCTTGCTTTGTCCATGATATAAGATGATGTGCACAAAATAACCGCTGGGTTGAACCGCCTCGTATCAATCGCTGTGAACCATGAACCGGATCAACTTGCAAAACAGCGTCGGGGGCAGTCCCTGACATAGACACTCCGACACTCAGTTAGAAATTCTATTTTCAAAATATCGTAATTGAGAAAGCTTATTGTGAGCGTAGGTCTAGAAAGCGAACATGGATCCCTTTTTATAAGGGATTTAATGACCTGCTCCACAAGAAAAGGGGTTTCCTTAATAACCGCAGAATGTAATCCTTCATAACCAATGTGTAGATATACACAAATTTACTTGAATATCTATTTAGGAATGTTTCCTAAACCTTAATAGGTATTTAAACTAATATCATATATCTTTAAACCGTGGAGCCCAAATCGAACCAGACTAATATTATAGAACTACATCATAAGATACCAATATCTGTAGCTTTTTCTATTAACTATTTTTTTTTTTTTTCGTGGCAGAGTGTTGAGCAAATTGCAAATAGAGCTGACCGTCTGCAAATCCAAACAGAAGGACTTTTTCTGCATTCAAATACAGATGTTGAGGTNTGAGAAAGAATTGTTCATTACCTAGATTTTGTTATGCCACACTTTCAGTCATGACTAGTTTTCATTAGGACGTGTGTTAAAGTGGCAGCAACATTTTCCTGACCACAGAATGCTGCTAGAGTGATGTTAAATGACGTTTTATCCAAGGAATTTATGCATCATATTAGTCAAGATAACTTAAACAATGGTTCAGCAAAGGACATGAAGTACAGAAAAAGTGGATGCTGTCTATCGTCCAGACGAGCTCTTACATAGAGAGTTTTATTGTAATGCCGAAACTTTTTTCACATGCTTTTATAAAGACTAGCAATACAAAACTTGAATAAATTGATATTTATAGTATTTTTGCAAAGGGTGCCGGAACAAACAGTTGTGCTATCAACACGATAGGAATAGTCATGAATTTACTGTTTAAATCTCACTTGATTGGTTTGAAAGATCAAAGATGTGAGCTTAGTAATAAGCAAAAGGGATTAGAAACCCACTAAAACCCAATTCTGCTTTGGCGGAAAGTTACATGAGGAACTGATCTATATCATTTTTAGTTCAATTCGTTCTGCTACAAATGACAGAAAAAAGTAGTTCCTTATATGCCTGGATAATTTAGTGCAAATATAAGAGCCTCAGCTTCGTCTGGATCATCAAACAACTTGACAGATAAGTCCTGCTTCCCCTTCTGAGGTGGATATAAGACTTATGAGTGTGCTTGTGTATGGCCGACTTATTGTTATTATAAGGTTCTAATAGTTTCAAATTTTCTTGTCACGAGATAAGAGGTATTTTGTTAACAATGTAGTTTCTTAATCATAATGTCCGTTGTGCTTTTTCATACATCCTCTCGCTGCTTTTCTTGACAGGATATTCTGGAACAGGCTCAGCCTCTTTCTCCAAAGGCTTTAATCATTGATTCTATTCAGACCGTCTATTTACAGAGAGTGACTGGAAGCGCTGGAGGTGTGACACAGGTTCTGCATTTTCTCAAATTCTAGTTTAACTTCCTAGAAAATCTTTAATAGGTGCACGGAGATGTAACAGTACAGAAGGCGAGTATCTTGTAGTACTATTATAAGGAATATTGTTTTTGTTCTGCATTGATTACTAAATATTTGGTTGTTAGTTGTTACATAATCGTTTTTTTTTTTTTTTACTTTCTTTTCTTCATATGTAGTTTAAGAACCCGAAGTTGTAGGCGCTATTGACCTTTGAGCATGCAAGTATCATAAATTCGTGACTGTAAAGTTGACTTGTGACAGGTGAAAGAATGCACTTCAGCATTACTAAGGTTTGCGAAGAAGACGAATATCCCTGTACTTTTGGTGGGTTCAATTTTGAAAAATGGTTTGAAACCCTATCGTAGTGAAAAATTATACGTTCTCGTGTTAGCAACTGCCGATGATCGTAATCCTTTTTTTCTCTCATTGTAGAGTGGGCATGTGACCAAATCCGGAGAAATAGCTGGGCCACGTCTTTTGGAGCACATTGTGGATGTTGTTTTATATATGGAAGTTGGTATCTATTTGGATTGAATTTTTCAGTCACTTCTTCTAGAGTAACATATTGTTTGGTGCTGGCTCATAAAACTGTCCCATATACATGAATTGATACTGACATTTCTGAAAGTAGTTTCATATTAATTCTGCATGGATATTGTTTTTCCAAACTGAAACCACCAACTAAATTTATGGTGCAGACTATATTTCCTTTGACTCATTAACCTGGATATTCTTAAAGCTGATATGAGCATGTAGAGCTTGGACGTCCAACTGTCCATGTAACATATAGTCCATAATTGGTTTACTCCAAAATTTCAATCATTTTATATTGTGCCGTAGTAGTAGAGGTAATTGCTCGTAGATCTTTAAATTAGGGCTGCTTTTTTCCATCCACAATGCAGAATCACTAGCACCGAATATGTGTATGATAATTTTCTTTATTTATGTCATACTAATGCCACTGATGATAAATGTTTTCAGGGGGAGAGACTTTCATCTCATCGATTGCTTCGATCAGTGAAGAATCGATTCGGCTCCACAGATGAGGTATTCTATATTCATCACCCCTCAATTTTGGGGCCCACCATTTTTAGCTACCATACTAATGTAATTATTTATTTAGATTTAATGTACGATTTGCGAATACGATATCTCAAACTTCCAGAGTAGCGTACTGTAGAAGACCACAATTTCTTAATGGTGAATTCTCGCTTGTTCTGTTGTAGCAGTGCTGTATTGATAAAACTGAAGCAGTAACCAAACAATACAAAACAGAAATTTACTACTTGCAAACCAATGCCAAAAAGAGCATGACAAATCGGAAACTTTCTATAATGATCTCTTAGATTGAATCTTACAAGAATCTCAAGAAGCAAGTTTGACTTTGTGACTTTGGGTACAGCGAACCTTAGTTGCTTGTAAATACTTATATCTTTATCTTGACAAGATATTGGTAGTTATTACTTATTTTTTGTCTCAGCTTGGAGTTTTCAAAATGTCAGAGGTTGGATTGCAAGGAGTTCCTAATCCAAGCGAAATATTCTTAGGTGAGCAGCACTCTAATTCGGATTACCTCGCCGGGTTGGCTGTGGCTGTGGTTATGGACGGCTCACGATCATTTCTCATTGAAGTTCAGGTACTGTTGTTCGGTTGTTTATATGACTGGTATGTTTCAAAGTTAAGATGCCACTTTCTACTAGAACTGCTCATTTGTGTATTGAAATGTTGTGCACCTGAGATTGAGCGATTTAGAACTAGATATAAAAAAGATGTTTGAATTGTGTAATGTTATTTATTTTAGATTTCTTATTTTGATTTTCCTTTAGGCACTGTGTGTGGCTGGCTCATCTACCATGACGCACGTGAATGGTATTCAACGTAGCAGAGCTGACATGGTTATTTCTGTAAGTGATTCTTCTCAGTTCTTTAACTCACTCAATGCTGGTGAGTCAAGCTGTATATGCCATGATTCAGTTACCAAGCATTGGGTTTGAAGAAGAAAAATGAAAAGAGGAAATGTAAAGCCCTTTTTGATAATGCATGATGTTTTAAAGATAATATTTTTTCTTAGCACACTTTAAATTTCTCTAATAACTCAAAATAATTTCTTTTGGAAAGTAAATGATTATGATTTGACCTCATTTTCTCTCTGCAGGTTATTACGAAGCAAGCGGGTCTTAAGCTACAAGAGAATGTAATGATCTACGTAGAGATTTTTAGTTTCAGCTCTTGTGTTTGCATTCTAGTGTTCTTGGTGCCTGTTCTATCAATTTTCTTTTCTTTTATCTTTTTTCCCCAATTTAGGTGACAATCAAAACAAACTAAATATCCCTTGAAATAAGAAGCTCAGAGAAAGGTCTATGTACTTGAAGTGCAACTTAGCATTTGTACCTGGTCATGCACAACTATAAATTTACCTTTATTGTTGAAATCTAAAGAAAACAAATATATTGACTTATAGCTCTAACTAGTGGGGATGTTTGAATAACAGCCAAAATGAAAAAGAAAAACAAAACCCAGTAAGAATAAAACCAATAAATATCGGACTCGTTCCTTATTCAACTGATTTTCTGTCTTACAATATCTAGAAATTTAAAATCGTGATTTCCCTGCTGGAATATTCGATTGTCTATTCACATTTTCTTGAATTGTAGGGCATTTTTCTTAACATTGTCAGCGGGTATATCCTGACAGAGACAGCTGGAGATCTAGCTATAGCAGCTGCAATTTGTAGCAGGCATGGCACTTCTACCAACTTTTTTTCTTCTTCTTATTTTTCCCCGTTTCTTGAACTGGTTGTATTGCTGTGCATTTGCAGATATTTGCATCATAATATTGCCATATGGGCATCTTTGTAGTCTTAGAACCTCTAATTACTTTTCCGAATAGATTTCTTGACTCAGCTAAAGTAAGGAAATGAGTTTTTTTTTGCCAAGCTTGAGACCAAGAAAACTTATTGTGGACAATTGGACTAGTTACTTTTTTATGATGCAAACAGTTCAGGTGGGGATTTTCCAAAAAATAAAAAAAAAATGAAAAAAAATCAATCATTCTTGCTCCACAGAAACTTTATAAATTTCGCGTGATCTCTTATAAAAGTTCTAGGAAAATACAGTATTCAATGTTTCAATCTCAGAATCACCTATTACACCTATTCATTATTTTTTCAAGGAAAGAAAACCCCTCAAATCAACTATATCAATTTCATCAACTTGTTGCAGCATAGGTGCCTCTAATATCTCACTTATCTGAAAGAGGAGTATTATCTCATTGTTTTCAGCTTCTTGGAATGCCCCATACCCAACGGCATAGCATTCATTGCTGAAATTGATCTCAGTGGTGAACTTCGTATGGTACGTAAATTTCCGGATCTCTATCTAAACGTAACAAATGAACGTTTAAATACCTTTATTACTCTTTAATTTATTTATTTTTTATTCATTTTTTTTATGTTGCTCGTCATAGGTGCCTCAAATGGATAAAAGGGTCCACACACTTGCAAAGCTGGGTTACAAGAAGTGTATTGTCCCAAAATCTGCTGAGAATTTGCTCCCTGCTGCAAATCTTCTAGGTATGGAGGTTGTGGGATGTGTTAATCTGAAGCAAATGATTAACACTGTTTTCAGGAAGGTATAGCGAGATCCAAAAGAGACTGCATCATTATTGCAAATTACATCTTGGTCCTGAAATATCATTTATATCTTATTGTAGCCGTAAACTTGTCAGCCGCAATTTGTTGGGTTGTTTTGATCTGGTTGAACGTAATGGTTCCTTCGGTTTTGGTGGATTTTGGAATGTAAATTTCCTTGTTGCGGGAACCAAAGATGTAAGGCTGGGATTAAGCTATTCATGTTTTATTGCGTGCATGTTTCTTAGTATCAGAGGTAAATCTCAATCACCGGCAAATCGCCAATGAAATTCCAAATTTTGGCGTTGTTCATTCAAGTAGCTATTTTCATGTCTTGATAGTTCAAAATTAGTGGATGAATTCTTGTTTTTTTTCTTTTGTTCTTTTTATGGTGATAGTAACCCTTTATTAGTTCAAAGTTTTGATTTCATATTCTTCATTAATTGAAGGTGAAAAGTTTTGATTTCTTATTCGCCGTTAAATAGAGTTTAAATGTGTTGTTATTTTTTTTTTCCTTCAAATTTTGTGCATTTTTCTTTTCACGAATTTTTTTAATTTTTATCAAAAGGGTGGCATTTTTTTTGTTTCTCTTTTGCGAATTTCAAATTTTGGCTTTATATATATGGTTAATGAAAGGAAAATTTCAGAATTACCAAAATCGAAAATGTTTTTCCCGAAAAAAAAATAACTTCAAGAAAATAGCAATTTGAGTAGCTCAGCAAATTGAAAATCGTGGTCGCTGCACACGACAAGCTGTGAGTCTGTGAACTGAATTCCCTCGCCATGCACCGCCCTCTCCGCCGCTTCACCCCCTCCCTCCACCGCGGCTACGCCACCAAATACACCGGCAAAGTCATGACGACGACAAACAGGGGCAGCCGCACCACCATCGAGGTCTCGGTAGCCTCCCCCGCCCCATCCGACGCCCGCGGCTACCCCCTCCCCCGCCGCGAGCTCATCTGCAGGGCGGCCAGGATCCTCCAGTCGGAATCCTCCTCCGCGTCGTCGCCGGACCCCTTCCTCGACCTCTCCGAGCTCCTGCAAACCCTTGGCGTGACCCCAACGCCATCCGAGGTTTCCGAGATCCTCAAATCCCTAAAATCCGCAACCCTAGCCCTCGAGCTCTTCCACTTCTGCTCCGCCCGCATCCCGAATTTCCGGCATGATGCCTTCACCTACAATCGCATCCTGCTCATCCTCTCGAAATCGTATCTCCCCGACAGGGTCGACAAAATGAAAGAGGTCATCGATCGGATGGAGAAATCGGGGACCGCCGGCAACATCTCCACCGTTAATATCCTGATTGGGGCTTTTGATGGCGTCGATGGGCTGGAAGCATGCTTGAAACTGGTGAAGAAATGGGAGTTGCAGTTGACGTGCTATACGTACAAGTGCCTTCTGCAGGCCTACCTGAGAGCGTACGATCTGAACCGTGCTTTGCAGGTCTACAGAGTAATGTGGAGGAAAGGGTACAAGCTGGATAGCTTCGGGTACAACATGCTGCTACACGCCCTTGCTAAAGATGAACAGGTCTGTTTTTTCCCCTTTCAGTTATCAGGGTTTCATGTTATGATGATTGTCTTTCTAGTGCTTCTCTATTTGTTCATCAAGAATACATGAATTTGATGGCAATGTGCTGATTTAGCTGATTTATGAAGGTTGACAATTCTCTAGAAAGATAATCATTGGTCCGAGCAGTCGAATTGGAACATTGTAATACATTTTGTTACTTATCGTCTTATAATTCGAATTTGAGCTTTGTTATACATCTTGTTAAAGATGATCTCTAGAATGTAGAATCTAATGAGCTGATATGCTGCAGAATCTTGGCAGGTTGATCGGGTCCACCAAGTGTTTGACGATATGAAAAAAAGGCATTGCAAGCCAGACGAGTACACGTACACCATTCTCATAAGGATGACCGGCAAGCTAGGAAAGCCCAAAGAAGCACTATCTTTGTTCGACGAGATGCTCTCAAAGGGCATCAAACCGAATTCCATGGCTTATAGTACGATGATCGAGGCCTTGGTTAGGGCCCGAATGGCCGACAAAACCATGACCCTTTTCTCCAAGATGGTGGAAGACAATTGCAGGCCAAACGAGTTCACATACAGTCTCGTTCTCAGTGTCTTGGCCGCCGAGGGCCAGCTCGGCAAACTTGACGAGGTCGTCAAAATATCCAATAAATACATGAACAAATCAATCTATGCGTACCTTGTCCGAACACTCGGCAAATTAGGCCACGCAGCCGAAGCCCATAGATTATTCTGCAACATGTGGAGTTTCCACAGTAAAGGAGATAGGGACGCGTATCTATCTATCTTAGAGACCTTATGCAACACGGGTAAATTCGTGGAGGCCATAGATATGTTGGACAAAACGCACGAGAAGGGAATTTCGACCGATACTTTAATGTACAACATGGTCTTCTCTGCTCTCGGCAAATCGAAAGAGATACTTCACCTCTTAGACCTGTATGAGAAGATGAAGCGCGTGGGGCCCACGCCCGACATTTTCACCTACAATATTCTGATTTCGAATCTCGGGCGGGCCGGGCGGGTCGAGGAGGCCGTTCGGGTTTTCGAAGAGCTCGAGTTTAGCGAGTGCAAGCCGGATGTCGTTTCGTATAATTCGCTGATTAATTGCTTGGGGAAAAACGGCGATCTTGACGAGGCCCACGTGAAGTTTAAGGAGATGAGGGAAAAGGGTTTGGATCCTGATGTGGTGACTTACAGCACGTTGATAGAGTGTTTTGGGAAGACGGATAAGGTTGAAATGGCATGTAGCTTGTTTGATGAGATGATTGCGGGGGGATGTTGTCCTAACCTGGTGACGTATAATATTTTGCTCGATTGTTTGGAGAAGTCTGGGAGATGTTCGGAGGCTGTTGATATGTACCAGAAGCTGAAGGAGCAGGGTTTGAGTCCGGACTCGATTACTTACTCGATTCTGGAGAGGTTGCAGAGTGGTTCACAGAGGAAATATAGAATTCGAAAGCAGAATCCGATTACTGGTTGGGTTGTGAGCCCGTTGAGGTGATCTCCGGGTAAGGGGAAAAAGTTTACAAAAACTGCTTCTGTGTTTTCGAAGTAATTAAAATTGTTGTTGGGATTGATCTTGTCTGAGTTTCCAGTTTTATTGTTTCCAGAACTTCTGGTTTGCAGGCAAACGGGATAATGTGTTAGCAGCTGTGGGATTTTCTGTACCATAGTGATACGAGATGATGTCAAGCCCGATTGTGAAAGCGTTTTTGAGATGATTCTTGACTATGCAGAGCATATAAGTTTGACTTGAATTTGTTTTATAGTTGGTCTCTTTTTCGGATTTTTGGAAAATTCGTATTATTTCTATATATATTTTTTTTAATCTCATGTTTTGTAAGATTTCTATTTGATAGTTTCTCTTGCACATTCAAATTTTTTATGTACCATTCTATTTTTTTCACGGCGTAGCATGAAAAAATAAAAAGTAAGGTCCAAAAAATATAAAGTGAGACTGAGATGCTAAGATATCTCCAATCCTATACTCTGCTAAGATATCTCCAATCCTATACTCTAGGTTTAACTTTTATCTCCAGTCGTTCGCGCTACATTTTACTCTACATGAAATCTATTAGTATAAAATAAAATTTAAAATATAACTATAAAATCAAAATTTTAAATTATTTAACAAAGTAAATAATTTTATTCATGTAAATTTTATCAAATTAATATTTACAAATAAAAATTAATCAAAAATAAAATGTGAAAAAAATGTGTAGTGCGGTGAATAGTACAACGCTATATGTATGTAGCGCAATACTGTTCATATTTTCAGATTAGTGTAAAATTGTAGCGCAACATTGGAGCAAGTTCTTCGTACTACTTTGGAGTAGGATAGAAATGTGAGGCAAAGTCTGAAGAAGCGCTAAGATAAGAGATGGGATGGACAATTGTTTTTTTTTTTTTTTNTCCCTTACTATTTCAAATTTGTTAATAAAGTTTATAATTCATCCATTAATATTTTTAAAATTATCAATTATTATTTTATAATTTTTTATCACATTATTGTTATCTTATTATTCTTTATATTACATCAATTCAAAGTATAAAAAATATTATTTTTTAACTAAATCAATTAATTTTCCTAAATATTAACAAAAGTGCATAAGAAATGAAATAGTAGAAATTACCGGATGCACCAAATCCAAATTTCCAATAATTCATGTACCATTTTAGAAATTTCCTCAATGAACTTTTACCCTAGGGTAGAGACTAGAGACATACCAAATTGTGGTGTTTCAAAAATCAGCATGTAGAATTTTCCCACTCGCGCACGCGCGAACGGAGTACCAACTGGTTCTCATCGGAGATGTCTTACAGAGGGAGGGGCCGCGGCCGGGGTTGGGGTCGCGGCTATGGCGGGTTCGGCGGCCAGAACAAGCAAGCTTCTTTCGAACTCTTTCCGGTGAACAATTTTTGTTTCATATTTTATTAAACTCGGATTTGTTTTTTGCTTCATTCGTTGAATTTAGAACTTAGGTTAATGTTGTTGCGTTTGTTCTCCGACCAAGCGTGGATTGGATTTTCATTTTCGTTATTTTTTTTTTGGCAGGAGATCGAGGGTTTAGGTACGGCTGAGTATACGACCGACAACCGGCAGTTGATGAGGTGGTCCAGGGATCTGCACAAGTTTTGGGTGTCCTCTCCTTATTACTATGAAGATAGAAGACAACGCCATAAGAGTACTGACACTTTTTGTATTTTGTCTTGGCATTGATTTACTCGGGTTAACGCTTGCTGATTGTGTTTTATTGTGTTTATGTTTACTGATTTTTAAGACTCTGCACATGAATGTGTGTTTAATCCATAACTTCATCTGCCAGCCATAGAAAAAATTTCTTCCTACTGCCAACATGGGTTAGGGTTAGCAGTTGCATCAACACACAAACACACGGGTATGTGTGTGAGTGTGTGTGATTCCACAGATAAATACTGGATTTGGCACTTCCTATACCGGTAGGATCGAACTTGCCTGATTATAGTGCCCTTGTATGAAGAGGGGCAACTAAAATGGAATTTCATTTGAATTTATGAAATACTATATTAATTTAGGAATGTAGTGGCTTATCGTATTTTTGTTTCCTTCATTTATATGCTATATTTTTCTTGATAAAGTATTTAAGCTTGTCATTCATAGTTACTTTCGTCCAGATACTTAGGCTGTAGATGTAAGCGTTTTGCGTAACTATTTCGTGCTTTCTTTGTAACAACTTTTTTGTGGTGTTGAATTGGATGTTAAAATATGATGATTTCATTATATCCCTGGACTTTCTTCCTGCAGAACCAGAAAAACCAGACATAGAAAAGTATTCAGATAAAGGTACACGAACAACAAAGGCTAAGCAACAACTGGGCGACTTGGTACCATTGAACGCAGATCATTTTCCAGCAGAACTAGCTGAAGGTCGATCTTCATTCTGTTATCTTGATCATACGTGGGTTGCAGTTTATATGCAGCATTTTGGTTGTAGCATCATTTTTGTTTTAATTTTTTGCATGTTGCCTCATATTTTCATATGTTCATTGTTGAAATAGGTGAGCGGAAGGGAAAGCCTCCCACCAGGAAAATCCGGTGGAATCCTGAATTAGGTATATATTTGGAAGAAATAATATATTTATGCCTTGTGTTCTCTATTCTTGGTAACTTCTATTTAATAATTAGGCAACACGTCTCTATTTGGAATGAATGTCAAATGGTTTAACTCGTTTGTAACAGGTCAGGATGTCTTCGAAAAATTCGAAAAGTTTGAAAAGTTGGATCAGGTATATTACTTACTCCTCATTCTAAGCTTTGCATTGTTATTAATATGATAATCGTTGTGTCTTCTTTATTTTATTTTGTTTTTTGTTTTTTCCTCCATCTTTCCATGTCATATTTGGTCCTAACACTTCCTTTCTTGCATGAATTTTGTACTTCCAGGAAAATGAAAACGCTGAAAAGAAAGAGAATGAAGAGGAAGAAGAAGAAGATGAGGAGAATATTGAGGACGAAGGCGAATACAGTGATGAGGGCGATTATGAGCAGGTACCACTAGGATTCTTGATTTGCAAAGAATTGAGTGGATTTACCTCTCTTTAGTTTTCTTTTATCATAATATTTGAACTGTGAACAACTATTTTGTGCTGTTTGTTGATTATTTATAATTTTTAAGATGTGTGGGGTTCCCATCTCCTCACATGTGTGTCCTGCGTAAAATATTAGCTTGCACTTATGTTTGTTTAAAAATTTTGTATTCAAATATCCTTTATGGTGAATTTTGCAGGCTGAAGATTTCGACGACGATGAAGATGATTTCAATATGGCCGACGATGACAATGGTAAGGAGATAGATAGTCATATTTATTGTAATCTACTCTGATTTGCCTTTTGTTGTATTTCATTTGAGTATTTCACTTGATAACCTCGTGATTTTGCAGATGAGCCGCTTTTTTGAGTTCACACCAATGGATTTTCTGCTAATTCGAAGCCTATATCATCAACCGAAGTCTTGTATTTTTCTAAGCTGCCAAGGAATATCGATTCTTGTTACATCTCTTACATACATTATTGATTGCTTCGCCCTGTTGTTATCTTCCAAATGGGCTGGCTGCTTAGATTTCTTCAGGGGTGTGTTTGATTTTGCAGTTAGGCACCATTAAAACCGAAAAGAAAAGCCTAGTGCGACGAGTTTGAAGCATCGTCATATATTTGATTTGTTTTTTTTTTTTTTTTAGTTTTATTGTATTTTGATTATAT